CACACACACACACACACACACACACACACACACACACACACACACACACACACACAGAGTGATGGATGTAGAATTAAGACACAACTGTGTGGTTTTGAACTTAAATCCCATTGCCATACATTTCTGTTAAATATCACTGAGGATAATGATAACATCAGTGGTGGAAAAAGGCTTTGGGGGTAACACTTAGGGGACCTGGGCTCCAATCCCACAGCCACCAATGTGACAAGTACTGGTAGGTAGGCTCTTCATGCTTTAGGGCTCAGTTTTTCCATCTGTTCCATGAAAATGAGGATCTAGGTCCTCCCCACAATCGCAGATCGACCAGTCAAGTGCCAGAAGACCGGAAGGAGAGAGAGGGTCTAGAAGCCACCTGAAACCGGTCTAGAACTTCCCAAGAGGGAGGTGATGTCACCGGGTAAGAGTTACCTGCGGAAGAGTTACCAGGCTGAAATTGTGTTTCAGCCTGGAAATCCATGGGGAGTGACTAACCTTCATGTATGTCCCGATCACTCAGGTAAATATCTAACAAGCATGGCACCATGAGTCAAACACTCCCTGTGTGCCAGGTACCCCTCGAGCATTATCCCCTGGGAACCGCCCCTCCCTGAGGCCTCACAGTCCCGCAGTGAGGCAGGGACTGTTGCTGCCATGATTTCACAGGGGAGGGAAGCCAAGGACCTCTGCTGGGAGAGGCTGAGTCTTGAGTTAAGACAGGTCAGGATGAGTCTACTGCTGCCCTGCTCCTCTTCTACCCCCATAAGCAAAACACCTGGCAGGCTGGAGGGGCCAGGAGCCGTCTACCTGAAGCTATGGGGCCTCAATGAGTGGGCCCCAAACTCAGCAGCACTTTCTCTGATGTGCATGCGAAGAACTTCTTCAAGGAGCCTGTAAGGTCGCCCAAAGAAGGGATGGATAAGGGCCAGTTGGGAAGCTCATTAGAACGGGAGCGCTTCTGTGTCTGCCCCTAGGTCCTGCCTTCATTACTTGAGAACTGCTTTTGTAAATCTCACTGTCGGGGGCCCACATGCCCGGGAAGTGCCCACTGTCCTCTTCATCTTACGTTGTAATCCAGCGTTGGAGGCAGAGGCCTGGCAAAGAACCATTACTCACTTTTAATGAGACAGCTAGGGAAATAAATTGGCATATGTTAGCGAAATGGCTCATCAAGGTGAGTAATTATCTTCATGATGGGGCAGTTTACCCTCGGATAAAAGAATTTGCATCTTGTCTCTCACTGGGTCATGGCTCTCTAGAACTAAGGCAGGAGGTCAAGGGGAGCTTGACCTCTCATCAGAGACACCTCCACTTCTCTAGTCTTGCTCTTCACCAGGGACCTGTCACTCCCCAGATTCCAAAGCTTAGACCGAGCAGGTAATTACAGGGGAAAAAGGAAAATGCAAAGCAGTTGTTTTATATTTTACGGAGTGGCGTGGTGTGTGTGTGTGTGTGTGTGTGTGTGTGTGTGTGTGTGATGTGTGTCTGTGTCTGTGTCTGGGGAAGGGGGTGGGGGGAAGGGAGACCAGCCACCTGTCTGTAGGAAAAGCTATCAGACAGCGGCTATGACATGCTCTACTAGTTGAAAGGACCTACTTCTTAGTCCTGAAGCAAACTTTAATTGAAGTCCAGTGTTTTCTCCTTTACCTCCTTGTGCACTGATCTTGTATCTTACACAATTAGCATCTAGTGGTGTCCAGGTGTTTCACTGCCATTTCCAGGTGTTTCAGCATTTTATGAGCAAACTGCCTAATTACTCTTTTGTCTCTTAGGAATATTGGTTTCCTCTTACAAGGCAGATCTCAAACTACTGGAGGTCAGGGATGAAGGTTTCTCTTTGGCTTCCATCCCCTCTGGAATCTGCTGCAGTTCTCAGGATGCATAAGACAATATTACAGGGTAAGTTTGTCGCTGGTCTCAACATCAAGAAGCACTAGAAGTACCGAAGACTTACAAGCAGGTGACTGATGGTATTTCCCTCTAGGCATTGGCCACCAGGAAGCTCAGAGATAATTCATTGCCCAATCCCAGTTCATGGCATGCTTTGTGCACCAACCTCACCCTTGATGCCACCTGACTTTTTATTTTTCCCCACTAGATGATAAGCTCATGTGGGCAGGACCATATCTGTTTTGGGTTCCACTTTGTCTCCATTCCCAGTTCTCAGTACTGTGCCTGGCACTCAATAAATATTTACAGAGTGGATGAACTTCAGGTTTTACAACTTTTGCGTCTCTGTGAGGTACTTAAATCCTATTTGAAACAAAGTGGGATAATCTATATGTACCCACACACTCATGCTAGTAATTAAACAATATACTTGGCAAGTAATTATCATTTGATTAATATCGAGTTATTGAAAATTACAGTTAAAATGGGCTAAGTTGATTAGGTCTCTGGCTGTGGTGTTTACACTACAATGAGTTTTTAATTAATGGTGATGGAAAAAGATCCAAATGGCTTTTTGGGGAATGTTTTTAGTTTATTAAGTTCAGTTTGGGGTTAGGGTACGGTGGGAGGGTTCTTTCATCCTTCATTTTCACTAGGGTGGAAATTCTCAAAGGACATTGGCAAGAGCTTTAAAGACTCCTGAGTGGATCTACAGCTTAGAAGGTGTTTCTTAGAAATGTCCCCCTTCTCTTTTAGTGTGTCTTTGTCTGGGAGCAGGAAGCGGATTGTTGTGATGGGAGTAATGCCACAGCTGGTTATACAGGAAAGGGACTCAGATGTGGCCAAGTTGATGGTATGGCTCGTGTCTAGGTGACAACTGGAAAATTCTACCAGAAAACCAGCCTGTCTCCAGCATCCAGATGTGTGGCATTGTGAGTTCTATGGACTATATTCACTGCATGGGTTTCTGAGGTGTCTTAGGCTTGGCTGGGCTGCTAGTAATGTCAGGCCACCCCCTCTAGTGCAGGGCTATGTCCAGGGTTACAGAGCCAGTTCAGGGTTGGCAGGGAAGGCATCATCTGCCGAGTATGTTCAGGCCCCCACTTAGCCTTCAGAGTGGTGGCGTGGAGTTGTTTCCCTGTCCCCCACTGCGGTCCTGTCAGGACACTCACCATTTCTGTCGATGGCAAAAGGCACATCCGTTGTGACAATTTCGTAGTTGCAAATCTGACTGTACTGGGGGGAGCAGTCCTCGTCGATGGCCTCCACCTGCAGGATGCTGTCATAGATCTTGTCCTCTGTCACGATGGCCTTGTAGGCCGGCTCTTTGAAGGTGGGAGCAAACTCATTGACATCCTTCACCTGGATATGGACCACAGCCCTAGAACCACACACAGGAAAGAAGAGATGGTGGTGAGGAAAGAATTGCCCCCCTTCTCACACCTCTCACAGGTGCCGACTTAGGTTCCAAGGCCAGGGGAATGCAGAAACCACAAGTCAGCCAGGGTGGCTGTAGTCTGAGTGTTCTGTCCTCCTTCCAATGAGAGACTCTTCTACCTGCCCTTGCCCTGATCCCCTGCGATGAATCCACCCCAGACAGACTCCTCCCCATTCTTTGATCTTCCTTGTTACCCAGCTTTCAGCAAACAGCTTTCCTCTTGATTGCCTCCCCTTTCCCTTATTCTTTCCTTCATCTGTTCTCTCACTCCTTCATGCAGTAAGAATTGAACCACTCTTACTCTGTATTAGGCTCTGAGCCACGCTCTGTAAGGATGAGAGTTACACCCCAAAACGAAAAGTGCTGTAACAGAGAGAAGCAGGTGGCATGGCAGAAACCCCAGGAAAGGTCCCAACCAGGGGTGGGTTCACTCAGGGAAGGCTTCCCAGAAGAAATGACCCCTGAACTCAGTTCTGATGGTGGAACAGGACTATCTTCAAGTGAAGAAGAGGGATAGAGATTGTAGGTGTAGAAGTGGCCGGTGCTGATGCCTGCTCCAGCCTGGGGAACTGGCCAGCCGCTGAGCAGGCCATGCTGTGAACCCTGGGTACACATATCTGAAGAGCAGTGTGTGATCAGAGATGGGTGGGCAAGAGTGGGCGGGGTCCAGGGAGCTGTCAGGCACTCACTTGTGTGACTTCTTCCAGGCCGTCTCCCGGGGCCCTGCGCCACAGTCATACGCCTGAATGATGAACGTGTATTCCTTCTGTAGCTCACAGTCGATGGCACTCTTGGCACGGAGCCGGCCCTCTCCCGATGTCTTGTTCAGCACCACGGCCTCAAAGGGCAGCTCCTGGCCATGGATCTTGAACGCACAAATTTCCCCTGCAGAAGGATGAAAGACAGTGAGTGGGGATCCTGAGAATTGCCAGACAGAACACATAGCTTCTGTTGGGCCAGATTGGCAAACTCAGCACCTCCAGGCCTGTTGGACTAGGAGGGGCCTCCAGAGACTCAGACCAACATGTTAATTTCATGGATGGTAAAACTGAAGTGTTTCGTGCATGGCAATGTCACCCATCAAGTGTATCTGGCAGAAAAAGGGAGAGTCATGTGCCAGGGATTGGGTTTCCCACTTTTCAGAGTGGGTTTCCTGCTTGTCCTCTGCTCAGTCTGAAATTTAGGAATTTATCCAAGGTCAAAAGACAAATGAGTGCAGAGGAAAGGAGAAAAAGGCCACAGCATTCACAATCTTCTGTCCTGTGACAACATCCTTGCTACTTGACACAGTGCTCCTTGACCCAGCTGCAGAGCATCCCCTGGGAACTGGTCAAAAACACAGATGCCCAGGTCCCACCCAGACCTCCTGAGTTAGCATTTTAACAGGGTCCCCACCCGGGGGGGGTGTTTGCTTGCTAAACAGGAGCCTCTGCACTGCTCTTCTCTGTCCTTTACTCCTGGTTCAAGCACCCCAGGTTGCTGCAGCCACATGTCCCCGCCCCCTCCTTAATGTCTCTCCATCCCCCACTCCCCTGTGGGGAGAGGGACACCACTCAGAGTGGCAATTTTCTCTCAAAACAGTGGGGGTGAGTCTATGTGAGTTCCAGAATCCCCATGGAGCCTGGGAAGCTAACTTCTTAAAGGGCTGAACATGTTGTGAAATTAATGCCTTTCTCCCCCTCAGCTGGGTTAATGTGTCTTATAACTATTCCTCTACATTAAAATGATAAGGCCATGAAAATATCTTCCTTGTCTCAATTGATAGATATTTATTTCTTGAACCTTCACTACAAGTAAGACCCATGGTGTGGGCCATGCAAAGTGCTGGAAAATTGAAACACATTCTCTTCCCGTATTGAGGCTGTTTACAGACCTGTTGGGGAGACCATGTCTCGATGTCCAGAAAGGCCATTCAGAGTGCAAAGGGGGTGTACGAGCGTCACGTGGTTTGGGCGGCAGGGAGTTCAGCTATAGGATGCTGGCGTGTAAAACACAGGCTTAGAGCCCTGAAGTCTGGATTCACATTCCAGGTTTGCCACTTACTTGCTGATTTAGTCAAATCATATTGATTCTCTGGGTCTCAACTGTGTCAACGGTAAAATGACCCAGGAAAGAGTGTTGGGGGAGGGCATTGACCCTGAGGTACCCCAACCTTGGTATGACATTGCCCCTGCTGCCCTGCTGGGACCAGAGTGAGGTGCCTAAGGTACCTCACCCTCAGGATGACCAGGAACCTGTCCAGTGGTTTCAAAGTGTTACTGTGAGAAGGGATAATATGACAGCTCTGTGCCAGTCTCTGAGCTTTGTACCTCTACCAGGGTGACCTCATTCACTCTTCATAATGAAATTGCAAAGCAGATGTTTGATACCAAGTCATACAAAAACAAACAAATAAAGAATCAGAGAGGTTATGACCTGGTCAAAGTCACAAAGCTAAACTTGCTGTAAAACCCAGATATGGCTGCCTTCTAAGTCCATGCACTTTCTACTCCACTGCACGTGCTCTAAGCAGCCCCATAACTTCAAAGGGACCACGGTGGGCATTGCTTCCAAGGAACAGTCTATATTCCCATTCAAGCCTCATTCAGGAGAGAAATTCCCCATTTTACATATTGGCAGCGTGCCCTGATCGCTTACTAACAGTGTTTTCTGAGATGGTCAGTTGATACCAAACTTGCCTTTAGGTTTTTGGTTTTTTATTATTTCATTGATCCTCAATTTCATTATGAACACTCCATTTTCGCTACATCCCCTCCCGGCCATTTCTCACATGTAGTTGTGGGATAATGGACAAATAGACAGATTGTAGGCCAGGCTCTAACGAGAACGCTGGTTCCCATTATACCGCGTTTGCTCAGGATCACAGGTGTCTCTGTACTACCTCCAACAAGGCTACCCTGCAGCCCTCAAGATTAATTTCTGCTCTGAATTGTCTGGGGTTAAATGGGTGAACTTTTAAAGTGCCTGCCTTGTGATTCTATCCCAAGATCAATGCCAGTATGGGAATAATAACAGCGAATGTGTCCAGACGGGTTCTGGGGCATTCTCTGGCATGCCCAACCGCCGCCATGATTATAAGACCAATCAGACAATTTCTTTTTTGAGGAGTCCAGTTAAGCCAAAAATAAACGAGAGTGATTTTTCTGTTGGAACCATTGATTACAACTAAAGTAGTTCTCAAGACTCAGAAATCCTGAACAAGAGGAAAGGGGAGGAAGGAGGAAAGGGAAAAAGAGGAAGGGAAAGAGAAGACACAGGGGAGGGTGAGCACAAGTAAAACTCAGGGCGGCCTATTTACATCTCACTCGACTCAGCTCAATTCAATTAAACAGAACCAGTATGCTTTTGAGAGCCAACGAAGTGCCAGACACTGTGCTGGGCTGGAGGCACAAAGAAAATGACTTGGATACCTTAAGACATAAGAATGCCTTGTCCTCAAGCATGCATCACCTAGTAGAAGAGACAGTCAAGTAAACGAGGACAATGAATGCTCACTTGGTTTTCACAAGAGACAGAATTTAGCCCCCTTGGAACAAAACCTAGAATTCACATCACACTTGCATCCTGGTTACAAATGTTTTCATTCGTTTACTCATCCATTCATTCACCTCATAAATACTTATTAAGGACTATGTCCCGAGCACTGACGGAACAAAAATGAACAAAACCAGACTAGTCCTGGCCAATAGGCTGCTGGCAGTCCAGTGGGGGAGGGACATAAGCAATCAGAGAATCACATGCCTAATGAAGAATGGTGATCTGTGATACGTGATTGAAGGAGAGCTACATGGTGCTAAGAGAGTTCTGATGTGGTCAGGCAGGGAGACAGGGATAACCTAAGAATGTGATTATAGGAAGAGAAAGAGGAACGCAGTCAGGCCGTAAGGCAAAGAACTGAGTTTCAGGGCGGGGGGCCCTTCAGCAGCAAGGAACACAGTCAGATCAAGGGACTGCAGGCCCCATGTGGCAGGAGCAGAGGCAGCGGGGCAGGGCCAGCTTCATGGGAGTGTGACCTGAGAACCATGCAGGGCTCATGCTCAAGCAGGTCCTGAGCTGAGTTTAAATCTCTGCTGTTGTCATCCTGAAATCCATAATCATTTTATCTTTGAACTTGTGTTTTGTAAGTGAAGCCCGCTGAGACGATGAGCATGTTGTGAGCCGAGGAGATGGGTACAATATGCATGTTCATTGTCCTTGCAGCCCCATTCACGTCTAGCATTCAGGATGCTCCCACGAGCACAGAATTCCGGGGGACCCACGATGCATGGAGTTCAGTGGGACTCAGAGGGAGGAGAAGGTAAGCATGTGATAGCCAGGAATGTGTAAGCGGGGAGCTGACATCCCCGAGAGGACACCCCTTCTGTTAGAACCCAAACTGTTCTGAACACAGGTAGAAGGCAGGGGTATTTTAAGAAACATGATCAAACAGCCCTGTTTTATCCTTTCTTACTCAGGTTACTTCTCTGTAATAGCTAGCCACTTACGCTGAAAATGATGACAGAGAGGAAAAGGAAAGATAAGACAACCCATAGTTTCTTTTCTTTTTGGGCTGTCTTTACTCTCAGTAAGCCAAAGGTAGAGAAGGTTAGAATGTGTGCATATCAAGAAGTGAAATAAAAATAGCGGAGTTCAGTTTGTGTGGCATTTACACTGCTCTGGGAAAGAACTAAATACATATGCATTCATGAGCTACAAAGTGCAAATTCTGTAATTCTCAGAGGTTCTGCACATTTTCTAACTGCCCTTACATTTGCACTTAAAACTGTATAGAGATAAATGGTAAAATTCATGCTAATCCATTAAAATTTTTATTTTTCTTTACTCAGAATGACATCAAAGAGCAAATTTAAAACACCACAAGTTTAGAGCGAGAGAGACTGTGGAAGGAAGGTCCTGGATAGAGTCTTGGGGAGGAGGAATACTTAAAACTGCAGTTCCCAGCACCAGTGGGGACACATTAGGCAGTCTTGTGAGGCCTGTCACTAGAATTCGTTATTATTAATAAAGCACTGCGGTGAGAGGATGATACGCATATACTTAAAAGGAAAAGATCAGACTTAATGGTTTCCATAGAAAAATATCTCTTTTAAAATCTTGCTTTCCAACATGCTTTCTTGGATGGGAGAGCTGACATGCCAGGAATTGTGTATGGGAGTGTGACGCACAGAGAAACGTGCCCCTTGGATCAGCAGTGAGCTCTGTGGGGAATTGAGGTCCACAGCATCAGGCTGCAGGGCCTCTGGGTGCTCTCACACTGGGTATGGCCTAAGGTGGCTGAACTCAGTTCACCAATACCCCCCTGTAAGGAGACAGATCAAAAGATGAGCCCCTGTGGTGCCTGGTGGAGAACAACGGCTCCAGCCCCTCACTCACCTGTGTCTCACAATCACCTTTTCCTCAGCAGTAACACACCTCCCAACACACCCACAGAAACTGGTGTGATTGTCTCTTAATTCCTCTCATAAGATTCTGGGGGAAATATGAATGAATGAATGAATGAATGAAATTGGTTTTTGGAATGCATTTGGTTCCAACCTTTGAATACCACTGAACAATAGATTGTATTGATTCTATTGTTCAGATGAGGAAACTGAGTCTCAGAGAGATTAAGTGGTTCCCCCAAGGTCACTTTGAGCGTAAGGAGTAGATCAAGGACTGATATCTAAACCCTCTGAAGCTAAATTCAGCCCTCTCTTTGCTCTTGCATGTGCTTATCACTGGGTAATTGTGACATTCTAGGACAGTGGTTCTCAAAGTACAATCTGTGGACCCCTGGGATCCCCAAGACCCTATCTTCAGGGTCCACAACATCGAAATTATCATCCTGTGAACACTAAGACATTCTTTGACTTTTTCACTGTGTTGATATTTGCACTGATGGTATAAAAGCAATAGTGAGTGAAAGCTCTGGTGCCTTATTAGCACCTAACTGCATCCTTCACTGCATGTAGTCACAGTAAAAAAATAAAAATAAAAATAAGGCCAATTTCGCTTACGAGTGACTTTAATGACACAGTAAATACAAATTTTATTACATCTCAATCCTTGAGTACATGTATTTTAATATTCTGTGTGACAAAATGGACAGTATGTATAAAGCACTTTTGTGTAGCAAAGTATGCTGGCTTATCTCTAGGACTAGCATTTGTGTAATTTGAGCGGGAAGCTGAACCAGGACCTGCCTTCGTGGAATGCCATTTTTACTTAAAGGAATGATTGACAGAAAAATTACGTTTATTCAAACTTGAGTGTGTGGCAGACCATTTTTTAAAGCAAGCCTGTCATTTCAAGGAAAAGAACCAGTAGTACAATATTTGTTGCCAACGATAAAATCCGAGCTTTCGATTTTGGAAAACTTGTGTCCGCCACAGTGAGTGTACTTTAATACTTTTCTGATGAGATGGGTAGTGATATTAATGAATGTGACTATTTGATGTCATATAAGGAAATAGGTCAACTTTTGAAAGGTCTACTTAATAATGAATCAATTATCTTCCAAATGACCAATGCATAATGTTATGTAGTCATGTATGGGCAAAAGATTCATTCAAAATCCACCAATGGATTTTAATGGAACAGTGTATAATAAGTTCATTAATGTGATTTCGGATTATTTATTGTAACTAACCTTTAAGAAACTGTTCCTTATGGAGTTCTGGTGTGGTATCAGAGAAGAATATCTAGTGTTATCTGAAAAGATTATTAAAATATCCCTCCCTTTTCCACCTACACACCTGGCTAAGGCCACATTTTTTTCTTCACTTACTTTGACCTAAACATCTATCACAACAGATTGAAGGCAGAGGTAGATATGACGATCTAGCTGTCTTCTATATTAAGGTAGACATGGAAAAGATTGCAAAAATGTACAGAATGTCACTTCTCACAT